AATAAGAAATGTTAGAAATGATAACAGAATAGGAGTTTGTCATAGTGATCCCTGCTTGGAATCAGGGGTGGAGGAAGGGGGATGCGGTGGGGGCGGACTGCCCTGGGTGTCACCCCTGAGGGGGAGGGTGACAAAATGCCAGGCGGTACTCAACGCGGGGCCTGCAGCACGCCCAAGCCATGTGTCTCTCCTGGGAGTGACGTGGTGGTTTCGGTGCCTGCAGGCTCTGCGCTGCTCCAAAAGGTCCGCCCGCCACCTCTCCCCCAGCTGTAGGGCGGCTGAGTGGGAGAAGGCAGGCAGACTCCTCAGAGGCCCCACAGAGTGTCCTGCCCTGGCTGGTCCCGCCTTGCAGGAGTCTGGCCCCACCCCTACGGACGGCTGGCACGCACGCCACCCCAGGCTTCCGATCGGCTTGCTCCGCCACTACTTGGAATGGCTATTTCTCTCTATAGAATAAAAATGTAAGAATGTCATTGCACAGCTCCCACTGGCATGTGAAGTGCCACTTTACAATGTGGGATTTGCATGAGGTCATAGAGGGGAAGGGGAGCAAAAGTGAAGGCGGGTTGTGCAACAGCAGTTGTCATGACATGGGTGTGAGAAGGCAGAGATGTTGAGAAGCGAAAAGTGATGGTTTAAAACAACAACAGAATTTTGAGCAAAAGCAGGGAGGGAGGAAACTGAGAGGAAATGGGTGTCTTAACTTAAACAACAACAGAGCTTTGAGTAAAGTACTATGGAATATTTGAGGGCACCACATCTGTTATCTCTCTCACATGAAGTAGCTGAGGAACAGAGGAGGGAGAAGTCTGAGTACAGTGAGAAGGGGGAGACACTGAAAAAAGAAACAATGTTAGAAGCAGGGGGAGATATAGATAGGAAAAAGAGGTGATTTTAAAGAATGGCAGATGTTTGAGTAGAGCAATCAGGAAGTGACATTGGGGAGGAGAGGCAGTTTAAAACAAGGCTTGAGTACAGTGAGAAGGAAGTTTGGAAAGGCTCTGTTGTGTTAGCTTTTTGGTGTTCTGTGTTGTACCCATCTCTGTTATTTTTCCTTGTTAAAACTGGTTTGTTTGTTTTTTAAAACAACCATTCAGTATCTTCCTAGCTCTGCTTTCTTTGAATGTCTGCTGTTGTTTAAAATTGCCACCCCCCATGTCCTTCCCTTGCTGTACTTAAACTTTCCCCTCTTCTTTTCATCAGCTGCCTCATGTAAGAGAAATAAAGGATGCGGTATCATGCACCATTTTCAACATCAAGTTCCAGATTCGATTTAGTAATTTTGAACAGATTTTTTTTTATTAACAAGGAAACTCACATACCGTATATGTACTATATAGCCATCAACTGAACTTAACCTTCTGCAACTGAGCCAAGCTAACAGGCTTGCTCTTAAGAGTCTATTCATAAATAGGATACAGTAACCATCTATCATCATGGGGTGGGCGCACAAAGGAGGCTGCAGAATAAAGAGAGGAAAAGGCATGGAAATGGGGGTGGCCTGTGTGCAAGGGAGAGTTGAAAAAGGAGGAAGGTGATAATGGTGTTTGTGTGCAAGAGGACTGCGGAAGGAGACAGGAGACAGTATGGAAATGGGTGTGATCTGTGTGCAAGGGAGATTTGACAAAAATGAGGATGGGGAGAAAAGGAATGAAGGTGAAAATGAGGGTGCAAATGGGGATTCTATATGGCTAGGAATTGCCCTTTGATTTTGATTTCTACCCTTAAGATTGCATCATCTCAGTGTCAAAAAGTATGGGTTGCACAAAGAAGACATATGCTTTATCAGCGTACAGTCTGACCAGCCATGTAGCTTTCATTCCTCTTTCCCTTCCCTATAAAGACAAATTCAAAGTGAGTTTGGTTTTCCCTGCCACTTTTAATGATGTGCCTTTGATGTTCTGCAAAACCACTGACTTAAACATTTATATAGCCCCAAGCAGTCATAAACTGTGTTTCCTCCTACGCTCCATAGCGACAAAATTGTTTATCCACTTTAATGTATAATCATTACGGTTCTCCACTCATGCTCATTTCAGCTCTTATATCGCATCTGCTGGCGGTACTGGAACACAATTATACCTTCGTCCTCTGATGGATACTGGTAGTGTTTGCTGAAAAACTTTGGGGGATGATACACTTGGGACTATTGGCATTCAACCATTTTGGCAAGAATTCCACCGGTCAGATGTGCAGAATGAGAAAATAGTGCCACTCTAGCATACCCTGTAGCATTTTTTATATTATACTATATTACGTTACATTACATTTTTGTCCAGCTTTTCAGCCAAACATTTCCTCCAAAATAGCTCACATCAGTATAGCATTGATGAAAGAGATAGAAGAGAAAGTGAGTGTTCTCTGGTTCATGTCAGATTTGCTTGGGATGCCTGAATTCTCCAAACCTTTGCTCACCCCCTGCAAAGGACCAATTTATCCCAAGAGCTCCTCCCCAGAGGGTGGACTTTTGCCTATCACCACCAGTTTTCCCCAGGGCAAATCCTCTCCTCAGGAGGGCTCAACCAGACATCAACCTTGACATCATTCTGGCTCCAGATAAATACCTTTCCCCTCCCTTGAGCTTTTAAATCCTCTGCAAATTGCTTTTGCAGCTTTGCAATTTTTATTTTATTTTATACTGATTTTTTGTACATCTTGTGGTGTTCAAATGTTGTTATTTGCATTTCATTTACTGTTAATTTAACTTCTGCTAAACTACCCTGAAAGCCTGTTGGAAGGGAAGGGTAGAAATCCCTTAAAGAAAAGGAATAAGTACTAAAACTGGGGACACTAAGATTCTCCTCTGTTATTTCTTTCCTTATACATTGGCATGGGAATGTGTGGCATGAAGTCATCACACTTAGCTTTTCCCTCAGTAGACCACAATGACATCATCTTTAGAACCTTGGAAGATCATAGTATTGACAGGATTAAATGGGAAGCCTACATGAGTAAGAACTCAGCTGGTAGAGCATGAGGCTCTTAATCTCAGGTTTGTGGGTTCAAGCCCCATGATGGGCAAAAGATTCTTGCATTGCAGGCAGTTGAACTAGATGGCCCTTGTGGCCCCTTCCGCCTCTGCAATTCTATGATTGTACATCAGGCTAGTCACTGCAGAAGCTCCCCCTCCCATCCTGGTAGAGGGCAATGAAACAGGCAACATGGACATGATGGAGAGGGCAGGGCCAACAGGCTCATCACAGCTCTCCCCCTCACACAACAGTAATCCAGGGGTGGGGGAGATTACTTAAGAGGGTCGGACTGACTCCTGCTTCATTGTCTTTATTGATTTATAAAATTTATATACTGCCCTTCATCCAAAGATCTCAGGGCAGTTCACAAGATAAAAGCACAAAATAAATAGTTAAAAACAAAACAAAACAAACACATTTAAAAGGCCATAGAATATCAATCAGCCAAAGACCTGGTTGAAGAGGAACAGTTTTGCCTGGGACCTAAAGATGTGTAATGAAGTCACCAGATGAACCTCCCTGGGAAGAGCATTCTATAAATAGGGAGCCACTGCAGAAAAGGCCTGTTCTCATGCTGCCACCCTCTGGACCTCTCATGGAATAGGTACACAAAGGGGGGGCCTCAGAAGATAGTCGCAAAGTCTGGGTTCCTTTCATATGGGGAGAGGCGGTCCTTCAGGTATTGCGGTCCTGAGCTGTAGGTAATTCTGTGACTAGCCAGCAAAGTTCATATTTGTATTAAAAATACCTTTCCACAATATTCTCTTACCCATTAATCACAATCGGTCTTCAAGTACACAAAAGGCTCAAAGGCAATTTATGATAATACTCGTGATCAATGGCTTCATAAATATAGACTCAAGTGAGAGGCAAGTAATTGCCGAACTGGAAGTTTTGCCAAAGACTTTTGCCAGGATGCTAGTAGCATTAACTATATCCTTACTCTGCCTTGCCTCCAAGGAGCTCACCTCTTCCCTTTTTATTCTCACAATAATCTGTGAGGTAGATTAGGCTGCAAAAGCATGACTGGTCCAAGGTCAGCCAGTGAGCTTCATATCTGAATGAGAATTTAAACTCAGGTCTCCCTGGTCTAAGTCCTGCACACTAACCACTAAAGCATGCTGGCTCTGAAATAGAAGCCCCTGCTGCACCAATGATATAGCATTTTAGACCCTGAAATGCAGTTGACATCTAAGTTTAAGCAAAAGAACTAATAACTGATGAGCTTGAAAGTCAAATAATGCAAAATTTGCTGAACAAATGCTTCTTCATCTGAATAGCTCCATGTAGCTTTGATTGACAACTTGTGATTTCTTTGCTGTTTGTAAATTCAATCCTTGTGTTTCTTCCCAGAGCAATGAATGTCATGTAATGTCTCAGCAGACTTGTATTCCTTGCAAACATGAAATAAGTGCTCTGTGCATTTTGCAACTACTTGCATGCACTTTTCAGGATGCAATTGCATTTTGACTTTTGGGGGCTTAAATAGCTGCAATGCAGGATTTGCAGTTTAGTTGTGCATTGACTTCATTTCCAGTCTTCTGCTAGAATCACTGAATTACCTTTGCCTTTTGCATAGTCAATGATAGATAAAAGATTTTAGAGGTCTGAAGAAAGTGGAAGGTGAAACCTGATGAGTAGAATGATTAAGAATTAAATGTATCCCTGTGGTGGTGAAGAGCAGTGTGTGAATGCTTGGCAGGGGAGCCAACTTGAATAAAATATTTTGGGGGCCCTGGTAAGCCCCGCCTTGCATAACTGAACACATGATGTGATGCATGCGCACCATTTGAATGGCAATACCCATCAACTTTGCGGGGGGTCCAGCCTCCTCAAATATTTTATTATGGGGTATGAAGCCCCTATAGCTCCTAGGAGTTGGCTCCTATGATGCCTGATTCTGGCCCCACACCACTGAAGCACACCCCATTGACCATTTTTAATATGGGTAATGTGCCCCTCAGTCCCAAAATGTTCCCCATACCTGGGCCACATGTAATCGCCCCTTTATTTTCCTCTTTCACACAGAGACAAGGTGCTGGAGCAACAAATGGAAAAGACAAGACATCTGGTGAGAATGGTAAGACCTGATTGGGTGATATATATCATTGTGGCAGACTCTTGCCTTTGGGATAAAATAAACAGCTAGTTAGTTGTGATGTCCAGGTGGATAAGGACCCATGCCTCATGTCCTTCAGCATTTTTATGTGGAAAGTTGCATCAGGTGCCAGGAGGACCAGGTTTCTCTAAAGGCCTTCAGGATGAACAAATGTGACCTGCAATGAAACATTTCACTGTAGAGAGCTCTTGTTCGGGGTTCCAACCAGCATTTTCCAGGGTGCTTCATTTCATTTCCTTCACCCCACCCAACTTTCCATCTCACTCCTGCCCCATAACAGTTGGTTCTCATGCCATGAATATGCTTCATCCTTATTGAGCTGTTATGGGGAATGCCTTCCTCTTATAAGACATTTTTTTTTGCTAAATTGTTTTTTGAACTTATGCAAACTTTGGGCCTCACCCCGCACAGCTGCCCTCTTGTGTATGGATGGTGCTATTTTGGTTATATAAGGATCTACAATCAGAGAAATAATTCACTGTCAGTATAATGGGTTTGGTGAATGGGCTAGATGGTGTGCATTTCCTCAGGAGTTCTGCGTGACAGCCCTGAAGACTTTTGCTGACCCAGGGCAGTAGGGCTGGCAAGGTTGGAGCAATGGGTTTCATGCATCTTGGATGCCATACATGGCTGTTGTTACACATCACAGTAGCTACAGCAGACCTGAAGCTTTCGAGTGTGCTTTTTAAAATACAAAACATCAAACTGAGTTGCTCTGCATTTTCTGACTGACTCAGTACAAGATGCACAAGAGTTATCTCCTGGTTTTACTTCCATAATAAGGCTGGATGACTTTCTTCGCAATGCTGTTTATATAACACGATCATGAAACATGATGTTCTTAATAAAATGAAACGATGCAGTTAACCCAAAATGAAAGAAGACAGAGCAATGCAGGTTTTGTGAAGCTTCTTACAAAAGAAGAAGGGGAAAAAGCTCACTGAAAGCAGCAGATTTTGCACCTGCAGGGAAGACTTTCACATCCCCAGGCTAGCTAAGATATTTTGATCAGTTTCATTACCATCTTTGGCAAGCCTGGCCAAACATGTTTTTCAGGGTCCCTCCTTTCCTAGAAAATAACGACACTTACCAAAGAAGTAGAGCACGTCTCCTGCATACCCCTCTTCTTCTCACTCCCACAGTGATGTCACAAACATTACATTTTCCATAGCTCAGCACTCGCTGCCACTCACATCCCTTCCCACCAGCCTACATGCCTCTTCCATAATTTATAAGCTGTTGCCATACAAACAGTCTAGCATATTTTGCAAGTGGGAAATTGCAGCTGTGCCAATGCATACCAGCTTCCAAATACTCTTATCCTCTGCAAGTCATTCCTCCCCAGCAAACAAAATTACAGTTCTGAGTTGTTGGTAGGGATGGACTAATCTGTCTGGTTTGGTTTCCCTCACTTTCTGATTTTTCTCCCACTGAAATTTCAGTTCAGCACATTTCTGGAGCAGTTTGGGGAATTTTTTTATTTTTTTTAAAGTCCTTATGAAAATTCATCAGCATTTTAGTGTGCATTTTTCCAAATATATACACATCTCTCTATGCTGTTTTGCTGGATATGCACATTTTGGTTGGAGAGTGGCAGCACAAAATTCGGTGACATGCAAATTTGGAAGGATAGCTATATAAAGTTTTGGGGGATGCAAATTTATATATTGATTTAGTTAAATAAATATAATCTGCACTTCTGTAAAGTATATCAAGGTAGCTTACAACATACAAAATCAAATCAAAACAGTATATAAATATCCATAAAATGCAATTAAAAGCATCAATAGGTCAGTTTAAAAGAAATTGATATTGTGGTGGCTCAAAATGTATATTCTCTTTAAAATGCAAACCAAACTGAATCTCTTCCCTGTTCCTGGTTGTTATGTTCACAAATTATTATTATTTTTAAATGTAAAGTACTGATGTGTTGTTTCCTCTGAGCATCAAAGCCCCCTTTGGATAACCGTGACTATGAGGATATAACAGTAAGAAGGATGCATGGTGGATCATCATTTTCCCTGCTTTCAAAGCAGTAGGCTAAGAAGAAAATAAGATAGAATTGCATCAGTTGCCTAGGAAAAGCAAATTTGTCTGGCGTTCCTAAGGTAGTAATGGAAGTCTTTTGAAAGAAACATGGCACATTTTATTTCCATCTTCTGCTATCTGAAGGCCAAGTACTTGGTCCGAGGGCAATCTGTACCATAAAAACTTTGAAAAATCTCCACTTATGGGTGCATAGGGATGGGACTGTCTTCATTCCCACTTCATCTGCACCGTAACACCTCATAGGAAATAAGGAAAGTGCCCCTGAAATGTGTTCCCACATTCTCGTGTCCTGAGAAGTACACGGACCTCACACATTGACACTGCACACACTTAATTTACACTGTTCTCAGTCAGTCAGTTGGGACATCAATGCCCACTACTATGTACAACCAAAGGGTACAAATGCCCCAGAAGGCCTGTAAATGCCCTGGGACTAATTTGTGTGGGAACGAGCTCATATAAGTTTATCTGATTGCTCTGAAGCCTTCATTTTCATTCAGTTAGTTGGGAGGGGGGAGGCTGCTCACACTGGCAGCTTGTCAGCTTATCTGACAGATGGATGAGAGTGGGGAACGAGCCTCTAAGCCCAGGGGTGGTTAATTGGGCTGTTGTCGCCAGCTTGATGTTAAGGATTGGCTGGACAATGAGGAGTGGTGGGAAGCACCAGCCAGGGAACCCCCAAGGGAGATTGCAGAGGAGGAAGGCTCAGAACCTGGGGGTTGGTGGTGGGACACTAAGGAGGAAGCTTGGGAAGAGATGCTGGATACTGAAGGGGCAACAGGGTTTAGTGAACAGGAAGAGCCCTATGCACTGTCAAGCACCCAAAGGGAGTGCTTGATTTTAGGGAAGGAGCAAGTTTGCATAAATTGACAAACTGCCCCTCGACTTCCCCACCCAATTTTAGCCAAATCATGCCACCAAAAGTGGGTAAGGTAACTGGCCTGTCAAGAATTCTTTCTGTAATGTGAGCACTGCCCATGGAGCATCATCATACGTAGGCAACTCCATTTGTTTTAGTGGAAGGGCAGGTCCACACAACAGTTCCTTTTGCGTACACAGTGAATGGCTTCTTCAGTTGAAGGGAAGCCCTGATGAGTAGCGAAGTGAAGCGCTTTGGAGCCCTCACACACAAAAGGGACTAGTAGATTGTGGCAGTCTGGGTATCAAACTACAGAGAAAGGAGAACTTGCTCCTCACCATGTTTGGCTTTATATTAAACAAGTGGAATCTGCAACAAAATACTGCAGTATATACTCAGGAACCCTTCTCCTGGTCAGGTTTCCAACTCAGCCAGCCAGCCATACCCTCCTCCAGATTATTATCAAGGCACAAGCAGGGCAAGCCACTCCCTATTTTCTTTTTTTAATTGATATGCAATATTTAATGATTACTGAGCATGCTGAGTCCTCATTGGGCTGTTTTATTTTGGAGAGAAGGTAGGCCCTCCTAAGTTCTGTCCCCTCTCCAAAAAAGAAGAAGGGAAAAAAGTTTGCTCTTCTGCAAAAGCTGGAGTTTCCCAGTTATGCTGACCCCCCACCCTCTGTTTCTTCAATAGTCCAATTTTGGGTCCTTTTCTGTTGACACTTAGCACCTGGGTTCACTATTTGATAGCATTGTCATCCTATTTCATCATATAGTATTTTGTTTCGTATCTCACTTGAGGACCTTTTTGCTGTGGAATGAAAGTCTGGCGCGGACTCCTGTTTTGTGTGTCCTTTTTTTTTTTTTTTTAGTACCTGTAATTAATGTTGTCTGCAATTCTCAGAACTGACTGTATAGTGATAGACCATGAAATATTCATTAGAACTTTCCAGCTGACAGCGATCACAGGTGGGATATATGTTCCACTGCGGACAACTTTCCATGCTAATGCAACTTTGTCGACTTTGTGCAGAAGAAAAGAGAGACAAACTGCTGTGTTAGTAAGATTGCTTGCCAACAAAATACTGAGAAGAAATCACAGTCCAATATCTACCAAAGTTACTCACAATTTATTAGTATGCATACAAAAGAAAAAAACTGGAAAAAGACCAGTTGCTAACAAAGTCCTGCACCCGTTAGAATTCTCTGAGTCCAACTTCCCTTAGGCGAGCCCTTCCCTTAGGCTTCCACGTTTTCACAGAATCATTCCAGCAACCTCCACATCTCTAACAGATTCCCTTGTGCTTCCCAGCAATGAATACTGTAATTTGGGTCCTTATCTACCCAGCACTACATGCTAGTTTGCCCAGCAACACAGATAAGATGGTCAAAAGATGCCTGCAGCTGCACTGTGGGGAAAATCCCCATTTCTACTGACTCTGAGGTCCACCTCCAAGGGTCTTTTGGTGGTTCACTCACTGCAAGAAGTGAAGTTACAGGGAAACAAACAGAAGGCCTTATTGGCAGTAACACCTTCCCTGTGGAACGCCATCCTATCAGATAAAGAACTATACAACTTTTAGAAGACATCTGAAGGCAGCCCTGTATCAGGAAGTTTTTAACGTTTGACAGTTTATTATGTTTTTACATTCTGCTGGAAGCTTCCCAGAGTGGCTGGGGAAATAATAAAACAACAACAACAACAACATAAATAGGCACACAGGTCACCTGGTTATAGCCTTCCTTGCTCTGGTGATGTATTTTATGTCTATTTACATTACAGTAATCAGGTTGCACTCAATGGTACACCTACTCAGAGAAGGCCCACTGAAGTTAATAGACATGACTCATTTTGGTTCATTAATTTCAGTGGGTTTACTGAGTATAACGTAGTTGGATTCAACCCATCATTTCTAAATTTGTATTTATATATGTGAATTGGCATATAAGCATTTTATGGAAAGTGGTGTCCTCATTTGTCCTTTTTTTGTCACACATTTCCTCATTTGGGGCAATTTATAAAGAGACATCCTATGCACTAATGGGCTGGC